TGACCATGTGGAGCCAGTGTGGGCTCTCATTGAGAACTGGCTAAGTTGTCACCTTTCTGGGCAACATTTGGGGCAATAATTGGCAAATTGTTTAGGCATCAACTGGTATGGCATAAGGCATGAGGTGTCTCAGAATCTTATTATTGATGCATTGGTTAGGGCAAAAGCCTCAAGAGTCATCACCAACTTTGCCTCCCATGGTGCCACATTACCCTTCATCTTTTGGTTTATTAAATTTGTGGCAGACCAGTCCTCCAATGGGCGGCCTTGTCTGGCTTGTCTCTTTTTTGGAGAAGCTTTCGACACCAAAATTGCATTAAACAAAAGCTCCCCAAACAGATTGAGATCCAGATCCATTAGGATTTAAATAAATAAATTATAAAAAAATTAGAAAAATGGAAGGCCAAGATCAACATCATCATGTTGTAATCAGTATTTTATTTTGTGCACGACTGGTTTGTAACATTCATGTCTCCATTTAAATTTTTTCTAAAATGAAAAATATTTCATGTGTATGTGTATGTGTGAAGGAGGTGTGAAGCGTATGTTGCTGCTTATACTGACACGTGTCTGCTACCTACAGAAGTCAAGAGTGCACCAGAATGTGACATGTGGGGCTTTGGGACAGGTGGTGGTCTCTGCGTGGCTCTCTCATTTGAGTCATCTCATCACCAAATCATTGAAGTAGATTTCCTATTGAGATTGTAACTTTGTAATAGATTTGGGTCATCTTACCAAATCATTGGAGTATTTTTCTTATTGAAATTTTTAACTTTGTAATTGACAGGTGGTGCTCTGTGATGGGTTCTCTCGTTTGAGTCATTTCACCAAATCATTGGAGACGACTTGGACTAGTATTTTCTTATTGAAATTTTAGCTTTGTAATTGACAGGTGGTGCTCTATGCTTGGCTCTATCATTTGAGCCCATTTCACCAAATTATTGGAGACTTATAGTATTTTCCAATTGATTTGAAATTAACTTTGCAGTAGACACGTGATGCTCTCTGATTGGCTCTCTCCTATATTATTTAAACTTAGGTTTTGAAGTTATACTATGGTACTGGATTTATTTACGTGTTATAATATAAATGGATATTTATTGACATTATATTTTAAAAAGTAAAAAATTATCATGTTCTGTCCACTCATCGTATAACACACGAACAAGTTATAGTATGTAATTGTATTCCAATATCATATAAAAATGGGGATGAGGTGTGTAATGAATAAGCTGTTGGGTGTACCTATAGTTAGCTTAGACACTTGAGTAGAAAAAGAAAAAAAACATTCTTAAATTTGAAATTTTTTTTAATGGGAAGGAAATTATATTAGTTAATTAGATCAGAAGAGGAATAGAGGGGAAGCTTGGCTGTGTCATCTGTCATATAATTCACTCCACTGCACGCATATGCAAGCATCATGCATGTGAATATCGGTCTGTGATAGCAAACCTCAGCTCTGTGATGCCTCTGCAACTGCAACTTTGTTGCCCAACCGAAACGACAAAGAACACTTTCTTTAATCCCATTGGGGCATGAGATATGAGATGAGATGGGTGGCCTTATTATAATGCATTTTGCATATTCTTACAAGAACATTACAGCATGAATGAGTCTGTGTTACATTTAATTTCTCTGCCCTTCTGTTTGTTCGTTGCCTCCCTCAACATCATGCATGCATGATGCTTGATGATGAGTTCATTTCATCACTGACAATTATTATTATTATTTTGTTTTATGGATGTCTAAGTTTTGATACTAGCTAGAGTTAATTTTGCAATGGATCCCATGCCATGATCAGTGAGTGTGTTTGTGTCTTGTTTCAGAGAACCCAGAGAGGCCATGAACATTGGCTCTGATTCGGAATAACTTGTAATTTCATAATAATATTAAGATCAATGTTTTATATTTGTATTTATTCCAAATTGCTAATAGTTTAGTTATTAATTCAAGTGTGGCTCTGAATTATATAGGGAAATGCACTATGCATCGTGATATATATATATATAATGGTGTTTTTTTTTGGAGATAATGAGGCATTAAGAGCATCTTCAATAGTCTCTTCAATAGCTTTTGGAATTCTAAAATAAAAGAGCCACATCAGAAAAACTCTCTCCAGTAACCTTTTCAACCTCAGTCATCAAAGCTGCAACCTCTTTCTCTCTCTTTAGGACTGGTAAGTTGACTTTGGCTCTTCAAACATTTAATTTTACTTTGAAAAAACAAAACATACCTTGAAAATGTTTAAAACATGCAATTTTTTCCCTTTTCATATAATAAATAAATAGACATTTTTCAGATGTTTTCATAATTTTTTCATTCTTTTTCATGATATTGCATTAATTGAATTGTGAAGTATGTTCAATTTAAAGAGTTTTATTTGCTACTACTGTTGGATTGGAGATGCTCTAAGGCAGTAGATATATTCCTCCTATTCGTACCCATATCATGCTTTGGAAATTGAAATTATTGCTGGCTATATCGGCATGAAACCAAATGAATGTACAGAAATCAAATTTGAGGGTTGGCGGCTTTATGCTGGATCGATATATTCTTCTGCAAATCATATGGATCACATGCTCATTCTTCTATGTATATATATATATATATATATATACATGATTCTTGTTGTCTCCTTTAGCTAGTTTTCTGCACGCAAATTGGCATTCATATATTAATGAAGCTCAGAACATTGTCTATGCATTGGTTACATGAAGCTCAGTACATTGTCTTACTTCACAGTGGTAATTATTAAATTGATATTTTTCTCCGAAACCATATGAGGGATGGAGTTAATACAACAAGAACAGAAAAATGTATTTATATAAATTGGTATGTCAAATATTCTCTGAGTATAAGAAGAATATTTACGGTATATCCCATGAAAAATTTGAAGTCATGGAGAGGTCCACGTTGTCTATACAAATTCAAGGATAAATAATAATAATATTAATTAATTATGCCGTCCCGACATATATATAGTGATGGATTAATTATCACATGCTAGCTACAAGCTTTAGTATAGTCATGCAGACGATGAAGTGAGGTGGCGGTCAACGGGTCAGCTAGATAGTTGACCCTCCTCTTGGCTAGGCTAGCCACCATGAGCCATGAGGGAGGGACAACATGTGAAAAGGCCTTTGCCCAAGCAAAGCCAACAAGAGAGAAGAGATAATTTTAAAAAAGACTCATTTAATTATTCGTTTCTTGTATTCATTTTTTAGGATAAGATCACACAATTACTCTTAATAATAGGAGATTAAGAATTAATGCGACGTACACCCTACACATGCATGCAAATCATCGATGCCCATCTTTAACCTGAGTACGTATTAAATCAAGAAAATTCAAAAGAAAATTCAGTTTTAAGGAGTCAAGTTTTTTCATTTTGTAAAAGGACGATAGAATTTTATTATATCAATATGAATATAAAGAGTACAAAGGACAAACTCTAAAGGGAGTCATCCCAATAACAATATGGCAAATATGGGTAAACTTCCCCAGTAACTTGAGACAGTCGAAAGCTTAAACGTTGAAAATAACTTTTTTATAATCCTTTTCAATCGTTATAATTTTCCCAAATTTAATCCAATATCATAAATACATGCACATCAGACGAGAGAATAGTTGAGAAATTGTGGTTACAATTAATATTTTTTATATAATTAATGTCTTTTTCTACGGCTTCGTTCTTCTATATATCTATGTCATGCCTTTAATAAAAAGTTTCGTGCTATAAATATATTTCAGAAGGCACTCATAACATCCAACTTAAAGTAGTTTTCATGTTCACATCCGCCATAAAAAAATTAAATAAAAAAAGTTTTTAATGACCTATTTTATTGATTATTTGATCGCTATCATTCTACTACCATCTCAGAACAAAATTAGTTGTAATGATGTTCATGAAACCCTTTAATAAGGCACCAATGACTATTATTGCAAAGGTATTGAATATTAAATATAAAGCTTACAACCCCATTATCGATGGATCTAAAATACTAATTTTCTTTTTTTTGAGAGAGATTTCAAATTTCTATTTTAGCCTTTTGGGCCCCATTTGACCGTACAGAGCCCACAAGGGGCAGCCTTATTAACTCACTTAAGACCCAACTAATCAGCAATTAGAGCAAAGGCATATCATTAATTCACGAGTTGCATGTGGACTGACCATGTCCACCAAAAAAAAAAAAAAGGCACAAGCATATGATGCATGATATATTATTTTTCGTTTTCTTATTTTTCCAAGGCAAAACAAATAATTTATTATTATTTTTATATTCATTAGCCGACGTGCTCTCAATAATGTTTGCATAACCTTTTTTTTAATTTTATTGAAAGCATGGTGGATAAATTTTTGTCTGTATTCGCATAGGTTTTCTTGGGTCAGCAAGAATCAAAGTCTTTTTCATGAGACAAGTTTATGCCAAAAAGTGTATAATACATAGTAGGCATAAACCTATTCCTATAAAATATAGGGCTCTCAATCATTGAAAGATGTGTAGGACACATCATGTTAGGTCGGGGGTAAGCATTTTATGACAATATTCTTAGAGGTCTAATATAATTGGGCCACATTGTCACATTCCATTCTCATTAGTATTAATTTGTTTTGTATTTTTAGTTTTTACGAATGAATGAAGAGATTCGAACTTGAGACCGTCTTGTAGTGTTTTGTTGCAGTTTGGTACATTGAATGTGACATTTTGATGATAACAGATAATCCATAATTCCAATTAGTACAAACTAAATCAATCTCACAAAAACAAAATGATTTCCATAGCAGTAGCTTTGTCCACATTAACTATGCATTCATATAGGACATACTTGGTGCAAATCATGCATATAAACAAAAACACAGATTCTGTTGAGAAAAAAAACAATATGTATTGATCAAGAATTCCAATAATTTTGGAACAAATGTACAAAATGGTTTCTTGAACATGGTACAATCCTATAAAATGTGGATGCCATGACTGACTGGTGATTTTTGAATAGCTTCAAGGTGTGAGGAGATTAAGCAGAGACACTCTGTGTTGCAATAGGCATCTGAAGAGTCTTTCCAAACCAGCCTCAAGCCCACTTATGCTGCAATCCAGTGTGTCTAGTCTCCACTGAACCCCCTGCACATCAGTCTTGGCATCATCACTCTTTTTCATGTGGCCATGGAGTGAGCAGAGAGCAACATCTACACTTCCAACTTCATTGTAAATCTTTTGGCCTCTCTCTGATGCTGCAAATCTCACAGCCATTAGCTTTGACACCAAACACCATTTGCTAGCCTTTGTGTTGTTGGTCAAAGGCATGGATAGGAACACACAGAGGGACTGAAACACAGAAATTGTGACAGCGCTTAATTCTCTTAACAATTTAAGCACTATCCGTACATTGTGGTCTAAATCTAAGAGACAAAATGACCCCAGATTGATCTTGGTTTCCATTTTCTTCAAATCTCTGAGGCTCTTCACAATGCTCTTCTTTGCCTTTTTTCGAAAGCAAATGTAAGCGTGAACGTTGCTTTCGATGCTGCTCAAATCGCCGGTCCTCCTCCTGCGCAGTGCAGATTGAAGGTTCTGAACATGTTCCTTCATTGTCAAAAGCAGGTCTCTTGCATTGCCACAAGAGTCTAGCAACCCAACTGAGCCATCAAGTGCTTCATCCACTAGTGTTTTGCACTGTTGGTGATGGTTGAGAGCTTGTTGGGTCAGTGGAGAGTGAACAAGTTCCTCAATGCAATTGTACAACTCTGCAAGACCGGACAAGCCCTCTAGAAGAGCCTCACTGCCTAGAGGACTTGAAGTTGCTGCTTCTGCAGCACATGAAAATCTCAAAGTCTTTAACTTGTTGAGCTCTGACTCAATCTTTTGAGAATTGGGGTTTAGCCTAGATGGCAAGCTAATGGACCTCACAGGCACTATGGATGAAAGTGAAACAGCCATCTTCAATCACTTGAAAGAAAAGCTATGTGCTTCGAAAAAAAGTCTCTAACTTTTTCTCACAATTGAAAGTGAGCACTGAATTGAATAAACCCAACTCTTTTAAGTCTTATATATATAAGTTATAACATCAAATGATGAGGATTACATGTATGGCCTTTTTCATGCCAACCCAGTACGGCCTGCATGTGATTGTAAATCTGGGTCACCCTGCAATTTGAAGATCCTGTATCAAATTTGGCCAACAACTACAAATTATATATCTTTTTTCACAAACAACATGTACAGACCGTGAGAGCCGCATGCCTCCTTGCCTCCCCCAATCATTTACCAGTACCATTCTCTCAATCACAATTCAATCATATTCCTTTTGAATTGTTTTATGGACATGAAAGGCTGGCAGTGCTTGGTGGTCTTTTAAGAAAAGCAAAAAGAAGGTATCAATAGGTTAAAATCAAGCCAAAACAACAAAACTTAGACAAGATTTGGCCTAAATCTATAGACCTCAAATACAAGAATCTAGCTAGGCTTTGCTAGTGAAATTAACTAGGTACGTCTAACCAAAATGTTCTGGTTCATCCAATCAAGTAACCACTCGATTTCCGTATCATTTTGTGTACCATACAATTAGCACTAAGGTGGCAGAAAACCCATTTGTTTATGCACAGACAATGAGCCATTTTGACCCTTTTTTATTCCCAAAAACCAAGCATTATAGTTAAGCATTTTTGGGTTAAGAGGGGCGGCAGGTTGTTGGCAGTTACTGTCACAAAAGAGCCTAAACCTCAGGAGTCAGAAATGCCCACATTTTGTAACTTGTGTCACGTGCACTTTGCATAACCATGTTGGAAGGACGCAAACCTAGCAACCTTAAATCACAAACAAAGAGTAATGCTACGCTCTTTTTTAATTAGGAGACCGCCAATTGATGCATTTTTAAGGGCACCCTTTCCTGCCCTTGCCTAATTGTGTTCACTGATATCAATCTAATTTGATTTTTTTTCTTTCCTTTTTTGGGTTTTGGATTTTCATTGTAATTGAACAAAACTTTTGTCTGGATGGTGAATACAAAATGGGGAAATTGAGCTTCCACCCAAACTTTTTGTGAACAAAAACCCCAAGCTTTAAAAACCCAAACTTCTTCTTCTCTGTGTCTGTCTCCATCGATGGGTTGTAAACACCCAAACTTTTTGTGAACAAAAACCCCAAGCTTTAAAAACCCAAACTTCTTCCTCTCTGTGTCTGTCTTCCCCCAAATCACAGTTCTCTCCCTCAGATTTCTTAACTTTTTTCTCCTTTTTTGTGTTCATTTTGATGGGTAATGATTAAATCAGCAGGAGAGAAACACAGCAATTGTGGGTATCAGAAACACAAAAACTAAATCTGCAGCGTCATAGAGAAAAGGAGAGAAACACAGAAATTTTTTTGGAAAAACGAAGGGAAAAAACAAGACAAATAGGAAGAAGGACAGAGAAAAGGAAGACAATAACTCGCGGAAAAAATAAAATAACTAGCCTAGATTGATTTGTGTTTAGTTGTTGTCTGGGCTTAGCCCCGTTTGTTAAGAAGTAGAAGCAGGAGGAAGGCAACGGAGAGAAGAAGAGGGAGAGCGATGGAAAAAAAGAAGAAGAAGAGAGATGGAGACAGGCGGAGAGAAGAAAAGAGGGAGAGAGAGAGAGAAACTAATTAAAAACATAAAGGGAGAGAGAGAGGGAGGCAACCGAGAGAAGAAAGAGAAATTATTAATTTTTTTTAGGCACTATGGATGAAAGTGAAACAGCCATCTTCAATCACTTGAAAGAAAAGCTATGTGCTTCGAAAAAAAGTCTCTAACTTTTTCTCACAATTGAAAGTGAGCACTGAATTGAATAAACCCAACTCTTTTAAGTCTTATATATATAAGTTATAACATCAAATGATGAGGATTACATGTATGGCCTTTTTCATGCCAACCCAGTACGGCCTGCATGTGATTGTAAATCTGGGTCACCCTGCAATTTGAAGATCCTGTATCAAATTTGGCCAACAACTACAAATTATATATCTTTTTTCACAAACAACATGTACAGACCGTGAGAGCCGTATGCCTCCTTGCCTCCCCCAATCATTTACCAGTACCATTCTCTCAATCACAATTCAATCATATTCCTTTTGAATTGTTTTATGGACATGAAAGGCTGGCAGTGCTTGGTGGTCTTTTAAGAAAAGCAAAAAGAAGGTATCAATAGGTTAAAATCAAGCCAAAACAACAAAACTTAGACAAGATTTGGCCTAAATCTATAGACCTCAAATACAAGAATCTAGCTAGGCTTTGCTAGTGAAATTAACTAGGTACGTCTAACCAAAATGTTCTGGTTCATCCAATCAAGTAACCACTCGATTTCCGTATCATTTTGTGTACCATACAATTAGCACTAAGGTGGCAGAAAACCCATTTGTTTATGCACAGACAATGAGCCATTTTGACCCTTTTTTATTCCCAAAAACCAAGCATTATAGTTAAGCATTTTTGGGTTAAGAGGGGCGGCAGGTTGTTGGCAGTTACTGTCACAAAAGAGCCTAAACCTCAGGAGTCAGAAATGCCCACATTTTGTAACTTGTGTCACGTGCACTTTGCATAACCATGTTGGAAGGACGCAAACCTAGCAACCTTAAATCACAAACAAAGAGTAATGCTACGCTCTTTTTTAATTAGGAGACCGCCAATTGATGCATTTTTAAGGGCACCCTTTCCTGCCCTTGCCTAATTGTGTTCACTGATATCAATCTAATTTGATTTTTTTTCTTTCCTTTTTTGGGTTTTGGATTTTCATTGTAATTGAACAAAACTTTTGTCTGGATGGTGAATACAAAATGGGGAAATTGAGCTTCCTAAGGTTATTAATGCCGGTCAATAATCTAGGTCTGCTATATGCTCAAACTGGTCCTGTAAATTGCAATTTGTTGCAGCATCACGGAATTATAGATCTTAGGGATGACGGCTAGATGTATGAACCTTCCCCATGGCTTCATGTCCAGGACGGGTTGGGGGATTTTGTTATCATTGTCATTCACCATAAGAGTTGTTTGTCCTGGTGCAGATAGATTGCAGGAGTGCTAATATGTTACATTCAGCTTTCTTGCTTCACCAAGGATGATTTTTTGGTTAAGAGGGGCGGCAGGTTGTTGGCAGTTACTGTCACAAAAGGGCCTAAACCTCAGGAGTCAGAAATGCCCGCATTTTGTAATTTGTGTCACATGCACTTTGCATAACCATGTTCGAAGGACGCAAACCTAGCAACCTTAAATCACAGACAGAGTAATGCTACACTCTTTTTTCATTAGGAGACCGCTAATTGATGCATTTTTAAGGGCACCTTTAAAGCCTTTGCCTAATTGTGTTCACTGATCAATAAACAATCTAATTTGAATTTTTTTTTTTTTTTGTCCTTTTTGGGTTTTAGATTTTCATTGTAATTGAACAAAACTGCTGAGAAAGAAATGCCCAAAGGCTGGCAGTGCTTGGTGGTCTTTTAAGAAAAGCAAAAAGAAGGTATCAATAGGTTAAAATCAAGCCAAAACAACAAAACTTAGACAAGATTTGGCCTAAATCTATAGACCTCAAATACAAGAATCTAGCTAGGCTTTGCTAGTGAAATTAACTAGGTACGTCTAACCAAAATGTTCTGGTTCATCCAATCAAGTAACCACTCGATTTCCGTATCATTTTGTGTACCATACAATTAGCACTAAGGTGGCAGAAAACCCATTTGTTTATGCACAGACAATGAGCCATTTTGACCCTTTTTTATTCCCAAAAACCAAGCATTATAGTTAAGCATTTTTGGGTTAAGAGGGGCGGCAGGTTGTTGGCAGTTACTGTCACAAAAGAGCCTAAACCTCAGGAGTCAGAAATGCCCACATTTTGGTATCAGAGCTACCATTCTTTCTTTAAACTTCTTCTGCTTTTCTTCCTATCAATGGCGTCCTCCTCCTCCTCCTCCTCCTCCTCTTCATCTGGTGTTCTCTCCTTCCCCAATTTCTCTACTCTTGTCTCCACCAAACTCTCGGAAACCAATTACCTTCTCTGGGAAAGCCAAGTCCAACCCTATCTTATTGGGCAAAATTTTTGGCGATTCATCGATGGTTCTCACCCTTGCCCTCCTGTTGTTCTCACCCCCACCACAGACAAAGCTGTTGCCAGTGCTCAGGACCCTGTGGTCCCTGTTCCTAACCCAGACTATCTTACCTGGTATCAAACTGATCAATCTCTTATCAGTATTCTTCGTTCCACTCTCACCGAGCCAGTTCTTGCTCAAGTTGTTGGTCTCACCACTTCACAGGCCGTCTGGGACTGTCTTCGTCAAAACTTTTCTCAACAATCTCTTGCTAATGCCACCCATCTCAAGTTTCAACTTCTCACCATTACCAAAGGGACTAAGACAGTTTCTGAATATCTTGCTCTTGCTAAAAGCTTATCCGATCAATTGGCAGCCATCCGTGCCCCAGTTTCCTCTGATGATTTGGTCAGCTATGTGATTCGTGGCTTGGGCCCCGACTATGCTATGCTCATCACTGCTATCATGCAATTTCCTCCCCTACCCACGTTCGTTGATCTTCGTGCTCGTCTCCTCGCCTTCGATGCCCAACAATCTCTCACCGCTCTTATGGCTTCTCCGCCACCGCCGCAAGCTTTTTATTCCGCTCATTCCCAGCATCACCGTTCTAGCCATCCTCGTGGTTCCCGTGGCGCCCGCCATGGTTCACAGTTTCACCGCTCCGGACCTCCCTCTGGTGGATCCAATCGTACCGCTTTTTCAAGCTCTAGTCAACCCCATTACCGGCCTTCCCGCTCCTCCCAGCCCAGCGCTAGTGTTTTGGGGCCTCCTCCGACGTCGCGCCCTCCTCTTCAATGTTGGAACTGCCAACAATTTGGCCATATTGCTGCTCGGTGCCCACTGTCTTCGCGTGATGCTGACTTCTCTCCTCATTTTGCTGGCATGCATATCTCTCAACCATCTGACCCCAATTGGTACTTGGACTCCGGTGCCTCCAATCATATGACCAATGATGCCCGTACACTGACAAATATCTCCAACTCTTCTGATCAAGTCCTCATTGGTAATGGTGCCTCCCTTCCCATTACTCATTCTGGTAATGTCTTTTCCTCTGGATCTTTTGACTTTAATTTATCCGATGTCCTCCATGTTCCCTCTCTTCACAAAAATCTTCTTTCTATTGCTCAACTTACTCTTGATCATCCTGTTAGTATTACTTTTGTTTCTTGGGGATATGTTATTCGACACTTACACACAGGTGTTATTCTCTTTCAGGGCCGATGTAGTGATGGCCTTTATCCGGTCTTGCCCTCCCTTGCCTCTAAGTTTGTTTCACACTCCAAGTCTGCTTTCTCTTCCACCGTCTCGTCGTTGTCCCTTTGGTATCGCCGTTTGGGTCATCCGTCCAATAAAGTGCTTAGCGCCTTAGTCTCTCAGTCCTTGTTAGGTTCTCATTTTAAATTATCTCATAATTCATGTAGCCATTGTGCCTTAGCAAAATCAGTTCGTCTTCCTTTTTCATCTCATGAACATTGTTCTAGTGCACCCTTTCATTTAATACATTCTGATGTTTGGATGTCTCCAGTTGCTTCTCTTTCCGGTTTTCGGTATTATGTACTTTTTACTGATGATTTTACTTGTTTCTCATGGATTTTTCCTATGCGACTTAAATCGAAAGTCTTTCATCATTTTTCTACTTTTGTCTCCTATGTTGAAACTCAGTTTTCTATGCCTGTTAAACAGTTTCAAAGTGATGAGGGAAAGGAATTTGATAATGGCCACTTTAAACAATTTTGTGCTTCCAAAGGTATTATTCACCGCTTCTCCTGTCCCCATACCCCACAACAAAATGGCCTCGCCGAGCGCAAACATCGCCATATTGCCGACATGGGGCGTACCTTACTTCTTACTGCCCATCTTCCTCACACCTTCTGGGTTGAGGCCTTTTGCACTGCTGTCTACTTAATTAATCGTCTTCCTACCCCGCTTCTCAAATGGGGAACACCTTATCGGCAGTTGTTTCGTAAAGACCCGGATTATTCTTTTATCCGAACATTTGGGTGTACATGTTATCCTTATCTTGGTGCTTATGTTTCTAACAAGTTACAACCTCATTCGCTTGCTTGTGTTTTTCTTGGCTACAATGCTAATCATCGCGGATATCGCTGCTATCATCCTCCCACCAGGCGTGTATACACTTCTAGACATGTTGTCTTTCACGAGCATGATTTTATCTATTCTGCCCATGCACCAACGCCTTCAAATGCTACAGCTGCTTCTGGTTTGGTCTCTGTTCCAGTAGTCACAACTTCAGCCACACTCAATGGGCCATATGTCTCTCACATGGCTACTGGGCCACTACCAAATTTGGAGCCCAATTTACCCCCTACACAGTCAGCACATGTGGAGCTTCCTGATCCTGTAGCCGCCAACTTGCATTCATCTCCAACCCCTTCTCTCACTCCAGACGACCTTGCGACCTTGACTCCACCATCACCCCCTGCTTTGGTCACTGCAACAGCCCCAGCACCAACCGCTGCCACCCATCTCTCAGTTCCGGCACTGACCAGCGCCACACATGTCTTGCCTCCCGCACAGCCCTCTGCGTCTGCTCCAGAACCAGCCCCAACTGCCGCCCCCCAGCTCCCAACTCCGGCACCGATTCCCGAACAGCCCTCGGTTCCTCCCTCCAATCGGACTAGCCCAGTTCATACACGGTCCAAATCCGGCATCTTCAAACCCAAGTTTCAATCCAATTTCACAGTTCGCTATCCTATTCCTTCAGCGTTCATTGCTTTGGTTGATTCTGATCTTGAGCCTACATGCTACACCCAGGCCTCTCGGTTTTCTCATTGGCGACAAGCTATGTATGAAGAGTTTAATGCGCTTCTTAAGCAAGGCACTTGGTCTTTGGTTCCTTTGCCTCCTTCTGTTCGTGCTGTCGGTTGCAAGTGGGTTTTCAAAATCAAACGCCACTCTGATGGGAGTATAGAACGTTACAAGGCCCGTTTGGTGGCCAAGGGTTATCATCAACAACCAGGAATTGACTATTTTGATACCTACAGCCCTGTTGTCAAACCCACCACTATTCGCACTGTACTTAGTATTGTAATCTCCTCTGGTTGGACTCTTCGTCAGTTAGACGTCAAAAATGCGTTCCTTCATGGCACACTTTCTGAGGACGTCTATATGCAGCAGCCTCCTGGTTTTATTGATCCCACTCGGCCTCAACATGTTTGTAAACTCCATAAAGCTCTCTATGGCCTTAAGCAGGCTCCTCGCGCATGGTTTCAGCGCCTCAGCTCATTCCTCCTTCGTTATGGGTTTATCCAAAGCCGTGCCGACTCCTCAATGTTTATTTTTCGGAACAACTCTCACATGATGGTCTTACTTCTTTATGTCGACGACATTGTTCTCACCGGCAGTAGTAATTCTTCTCTTCTGGATTTCATCCGCATCTTGGGCGCAGAATTTGATCTCAAAGATCTTGGGCAACTCAATTATTTCTTGGGTATGGAGGTGACTTATTTGTCTGGTCGTGTTCATCTCACACAGAACAAATATACCATTGATTTACTCACCCGCAGCAACTTGTTGGAGTGCAAGCCGTGCTCCACCCCCATGGCCTCCAAAGGCTCCCTATCCCGTACAGCAGGTCATCCTCTCTCTGACCCCCTCCGTTTATAGGCAGCTAGTTGGCACTCTCCAGTACTTAACTCTCACTCGTCCCGACATTGCCTACGCGGTTCAATTTGTGTCTCAATTTATGGGCTCTCCCACTGATCTTCACATGGAAGCTGTCAAACGCATTCTTCGATATCTCAAGGGCACTCTTGGTCATGGTTTACCTTTCCATCGGTCTCCCAATTCCACCATTCTTGTTGCCTATTCGGATGCTGACTGGGCAGGTTGCCCCGATACACGTCGCTCGACAACTGGCTATTGCGTATTCTTGGGATCAAATTTAATTTCATGGAGTGCTAAGAAACAGCGTACGGTCTCACGCTTTAGTGCGGAGGCAGAATACCGTGCCCTCACCTATGCATGTGCTGACACCATTTGGATACAGGGTCTCCTTCGAGAATTACAATTCCCACTCCGCCATCCAGTTCTCCTCAACTGTGACAATCTCTCTGCGACATATATGGCTGCCAATCCTGTTTTCCATGCCCGCACGAAACATGTTGCTCTCGATTATCACTTTGTTCGAGAACGTGTTGCCTCCGGCAGCCACAGAGTTTCCTTCATCCCCTCTGTTACTCAACTTGCTGATGTCTTTACCAAAGGTCTTCCTACAGACCGCTTTGCCCGCTTGGTATCCAAACTTGTCTCTCCTCCGCCGCCAAGTTTGCGGGGGAGTGTTGGAGACTCTTCATATTCATGACCGTTACAGCAAATTAAGTAGATTACTGTTACAATTGTTAATACGCATAATTGCCTTGTTGTCTGTTACAGTTTGGCTATAACTCCCAGACCATTGCAGCTTGTATATAATCCATGTACTAGTGATTATTCAGACATGAAAAGAATCTGTTTCTACAATCTGTGTGTGAATAACAGCAGACAGTACAGCTCCCCAGAGTAGTAGGCTAGTAGCAGATCAACAATCAATAGCAGATAGTGACTGATGCCAATCAGGGGGAGAAGTTTTGCTGCGACCATGGTGAATTAGTTGGAGGATAATTTGCACATAGGATAACTTTTGTCTGGATGGTGAATACAAAATGGGGAAATTGAGCGTCTTAAGGTTATTAATGCCGGTCGATAATCTGGCTCTGCCATAAGAGTTGTTTGTCCTGGTGCAGATAGATTGCAGGGCTGCTAATATGTTACATTCAGCTTTCTTGCTTCACCAAGGATGACTCTTGAGTCTTGACCCAAAAAAAAAAGGATGACTCTTGAAAACTTGAACCTACAATAGCCCCAAAACAAACCGAGTGGCCCAAAATAACAAGAAGTGTTTCGATTTAGTCAGGATATTGTATGATGAAAGATACACGTAATGGCCTTAAGTGCTCAATAATAGAAAAGATAAACCACAATTCACAGCCTTAAAACACAAATAGAGCACAACTAGTGAAACCCACATAATTATATTATATGGACATCAACTACATATAAGCATTGATGCGAAAAAGGTTCTACTCTTTCAACATTCACTCTTGAAGGGATCAAGACAAGAGGGTTCAAAATCGAGATTACAGTTGTGTCAATCCAAAATATGACAACTGTAGGCATTTGGAAGATGACAAACTTACAATTTCAAATTTAACAACCTAAGAGCATCCACAGTGGGGGGGTGTAAATTCGGGGATGTAAAGCCACTTTTACATCCCCTTTACACTTCCGGGGGGTGTAAATATATTTTTTGCTCCAGTGGGGGGTGTAAATTCGGGGGTATAGCCGTGGGTCCCAGCCTTTTATGTTGACTTTTCTTCTCCTTTCTCGGGTGGGTCCCGCTTGCAAGGGATGTAAAAATGGATGTAAATATACATTTTATTTTACATCCCCATGGTGGTGATGTATATTTACATCCATTTACATCTCACCATTGGAGACGATTCCGGTGACTCGGGGTGTATATTTAACATACACCCCCATATACACCCCCCACTGTGGATGCTCTAACAGCTCCAATAATCTAAAACTAAAGCATACAAATCCAAGCAGCATTAACTTTAGCATATCTCAGAGACAAAACATCTGTACATATTTAAGTGTTGCCAAAAGGGATTCACTTCAGTACCTTTAAACTCGTGTAATATCTCTCTTCAAGTAAACAATAAATTAAACAAACACAACCGGGTTAATGCCATTTGCTTAACCTTGAGTGTTACAGTTACACTTTCACTGAGATTAACAAGTTTAGTCGTTACTGAAAACAAAACAACAGCACAATCCAACCTTTGTAAGTTTCATAAACTAAGAAAAACCAAAGGCCACTGTTGCCAATATGGGAATTGATAAACATCACTGTGGCATCTTGAGTTTCAAGGATATAATCAATCACGGAACATTTGAAAACACTACTCGAATCCATGGATAAAATATGGTTGTTATAGAAAATAGAGAAAATACCAGTTAGGTAGCAAGGCCTTGTTCCCTTGCTTTCTTAAGCCACTTCAGTGCACCCTCCAAAGTTGTATAAGCAGCAACATCAGTTACACTCTTACTCTCAACTGCATAATCAAACACTTCATAAGCATCTGCCACCCTCCCCTCCCTACAAAGTGCCCTCACAAGTGTAGCATAAGAAGCTGAGAGAGAGAGTGAGAGAGAGAGAGAGAGAGAGAGAGAGAGAGAGAGAGAGAGAGTATGAATCTTTACATGTATCCTCATCTTGTGCAACATTGTCATTATTAGGAACAACCTCCAACAAAAAAGGAGACGCAATTATGTTCGTATTAACTGTTTGAACATGATTCACTACAGCCTTATCCCTAACAAAAATGTGAATTAATTGATCCTTCATCAGTCCACATACCATAAACATGACTTTCAAATCATCATCCTATTCCAATAAACAATTGGAGCAATCTGTAAAGGAGTACCTCAACTCAAAATGACCTAACTTAAGCTTAAACCTACTACACAACTCGTTGGACAACCAATCAAAAGTAGTAGTTGAAGATAAAATAACCATTAAAGTTCCAGCACCATAGGTGCACTTTGCCACTCTCGAATCATCCATATCTCTACAAAAAAATAACAAAAAAACAAAAATGACTACTAGTAATAACAGTGTTATTACCCTATACTAGAACTTTACAGTGGTAGACGTGCATTAGAAATAGGATTTCATAGCAAACAAGCAGTGTTATTACCCTAGACTGGAACGTAATAGAGGTAGACGTGCATTACAAATACGATTTCATAGCAAACAAGCAGTGTTATTACCCTAGACTGGAACGTAATAGAGGTAGACGTGCATTATAAATACGATTTCATAGCAAACAAGCAGTGTTATTACCCTAGACTGGAACTTAACAGTGGTAGATGTGCATTACAAATACGATTTCATAGCAAACAAACAGTGTTATTACCCTAGACTGGAACTTAACAGTGGTAGACGTGCATTAGAATTAGGATTTCATAGCAAACAAGCAGTGTTATTACTGTTGTGTAGATACAGCTGCACCAAAATGGATTCAGTTGCATCATCAACTTGTGATACTCGCAAGTGCACGAGCCGTTCGGTAGTATAGCGTATGTAAGTGCGAGGTCGATCCCACGAGGATTGGTGATTGAATGATCCCATTCATTTTCCCTACACAAAACAGAAATGAAAAAGAAAGGAAATAAATACAACAAGAAAAAAAGAAATAACTCAAGCAAATAAGTTCCCAAGTTCAATTAGATTAATGGATTGATTCTAGCTAAAGTATGATTAAGCCATGGTGTGTGGTCATAACCTTGTGTTCCTAATTCCCTAATTTGATCATTTGTTGTCTAACCTAAAATTAAGCATTAGAAACCCATTAAGCATAGAAGAACAATTTAAACAACCAAGCATGTATCTAATCCCTGTTGTCGAA